TTTACTTGTGTTTCTTTACTTAGTACTTGTAGTAACTGTTATGAGAGGTACTATTATTATAGATGAGGAAACTCAGGCACTTTCCCAAGGTTCTATAATTAATAAGTGATAAAGTAGTTATTATTAATGTAGTCTGGTTTCATAATCCATGCTTTCAACCACTCTTGGTATTCCAAAATACTTAAAATTTAAAAAATTCAGATTAAATCATAAGTGGAATGCTACATATAAAACAAAAGTAGAACTACTCCCTTTGGGTGTGAGATGGTGGACAAGGATCTCTGCTGATTCATACTTCTTCCTTTCCACTGATCTGTTTATCAGCCCCAGATGCCTTTGTGGAACCTCTGTTGCACTAGGGAACACAGTTTGAAGACCACTACTGTGGGTAATCAGGAGCCCCTTGAGATGTTGGAACCAGGCCAGTGATATTTTTCACAAAATATTGGTGGTTTAGGCATGTTTTCCTGGCAGTAGGAAGATAAGTTGTAACAATAAATCCTGTGGGACATCTTTTAATTCTAGATCCACAGGGGCTACTTCAAAGATACATAGTCAAAACATCTGAAAAAAATCAAAAGGGAAGTCTAACCTTCAATTTGTGTCTTTGTAAAAACATTGAAGGGGCCCCAAGAATAACCCCTAGCAAGTTTTTCCCCTTCTCTTTTCCTCTTCTTCTCAGTTCTCTTATTGCAACCTTAAAACAAAACAAAACCTCTGTGTCCCCAGTCTTCAGGCTTATTATTCCCCTTTCTTTTCTCACTTTTATGTTCCACTTTTTATTATAACCGTCATTATAGCCTGCCCTTCAAAGTCCTATACTTTTGCACTCAGTTGTGTAGGTTCACTTTGCTACCCCTTTGTTAATTCCATTTCCTAAAATCTAGGCACAGACCTGGCTGAGAGAGAACTAGAGACAAAACACACACCCATGCACACATACACAGTTATTTTCAACCCTATCAGAAATGTGGGAGGGGAAGGGATCCAAGCTTGAAGCATTAAAAGTAATGATAGAAAGAGATAATGAGGCTGAGAAGTGTTTCCAAAATAGAGCTATAAGACACAATGATGAATAGAAAATAAACAGGAGAGAGAGGGAAGAGACAAATATGATTCTGTGGTTTTAAACGTGAATGAGTGATAAAAGGTCAGGGCATTGGACCAAATGGTGGATGAGTGAGGGAGTGGCATGTTGGGTGGGTATGGATGGGTGGTAAGGATTTGGTTTAGACAGGTATCCAAGGATTATGAGCTGGCTTTTGATCATCCTGAATTTAAAGTGATGCTATGACACCCAAATGGAAATGATGGACAGGTGGTTGGGTATATGTGAAAGATGTCAAGTGAATAAAAGAAGATAAAGTTTCCAAAGGTACCAGAATAGAGGTGAGAACTGTGGAGACAAACCTCAGTCCTCCTCCTGAGGATCCACATGGATGAGGAAAATGTCTGTGGGACAGAGTCATTAGGGGAAGGTTCCAGTTATGCAGGGAGATGAAGAATTTGCAAAAGAAACAGGGGAAATAGGTTCCCAATCTAAGGAGAGCTTCCAAGGACCCAAGGGAAGGGTTGGCTTTTAGGAAAATGGGGAATGGATACAGTCCCACTCACCCATCAAACTGTGTTTCAGAGAGGTTATTTAATAACAAGGGAAACTTCCCAATGATACATTTATTGAAAATTGTTTAGAAAATTATATATAGCATCTCAATTATACACACACACATATATAGAGAGAGATGGGGAAATTACAACAAAGTATTAAAAGTGTTTATCTGCATGTAGTAGGATTTTAAGTGATCATAACTAAAAAGAATGTTATTATTTAATCTTAAATAAAAAGAAACATTAAAATTTTCGTATCTGTATCTTTTAGATTCTAGAGTGTACATTATTCTTATTATAAGAAAAAATGTTATTTTATTGATATCAGTTAGATGGAAGATAAATGATGTGTAGGCTGTATCATCTCACTTAATGCCCACAAACATCTAATAGAATAAGCAGCATGATTTCCTGCTTCCAGATAAAGAAACTGAAGCTGAAAGAGATAAAGGTGTTTGTGTCAGACAAAACTGATGGAGCCACTGGTAGATTTTAAGGCACAAGCTACATATACATAGCCAGTTAAAATGTTACTTCAAATGAGGGGAAGAAGTTGGAAAACTGTTTAGCTGTACAAACTACATATTGAGAAAAGACATATGGCAAGAAAGAAGGTACCAGTGGCCTGTAAGAATATTTTCCATGGGATAGAAAAATAAAAAACACTTTCCTCTTGATGAGAGGGGACTGGTGGTAGGGAGATGGAGGCAGGTATAGAGCACTTGGTAAGAAGTGTTAACAGTTGACCAGTTAAGACAGGCCAGGTGACACTGATGTAACAGCCCCTTATCTCCTGGTGTAGCCCAATAAAGGTGTGTACCTTGCTTATGTGATGTGGGTTGCCCTTGAACTTCATTATAGTCACTCAGGGATTGAGGCTGAAGGAGACATCATCTGAAACATGCTTCTGCAGTTACCATGGCAGGGAAAAGGGAAGGTTGGAGTTCACTGCTAGTATTTAAATTCTTTTCCCTTGAAATGACAATGATTTTATTAGCCAAAGCCTCACCCATCTTAAAGGAAGAGGAGAAGTATGGTCCTACCAAGTGCCTATAAAAAGGAGAACTAGAATATTGTGAATCACCCTAATGACCATCACAGCAGGGAAAACATTTTTTGCTTTTTAATGCTCTTGCTTTGATAGGAAAAGAAACAGTTTGTAGAACTCTAGAACATTTAACACAGGAGGTACCATGGGCATCATCTAGAAAACTGAGGCTTCAAGAGTCAAGTGATTATTTGCACAAAGTTACAGATGGAAACAGTGGCTGTGTGAAGACTAGAACAGTATATCTGAGGCCACTGCCCCCAGGTGGTCCTCAGTGTGCAATCCCCACTGGCCAGGTGAATTAGGAGGAGTGGAAGGCGTTGGCCTGGGAAGCTACTTGAAGACTCTGCTTCCAAGGTGTGGAAAATAGTAGTCTCACCTCAAACTAGGAATTATTAATGTTGGAAGCCAACAGCATCTCTATCAGTAAAAACTCTGGATTATCTCTCTTAGGTGCCCAGGTTTTCTCCATGTGGTTATTGCTGAAATGACCAGGGTAGTCTAAAAGTAATTACTCTAAAGTAAAATTGTGAAAATTGGGTTAATATAAAACTAGTTGGTGCCTGCCCCAAGCAGTCAGGTGGCAGGTAAACTAAGAACTTGGAAACCCAGTTGAGTGGCATGCTGTGTCCATAGATTGCAGACAGGTCAGCTCAACTAATGAGAGAGAGATTTAGCAGGAGAGAATCCTGAACACTCTTATGCAGCTGTGGGATCAGTAATACACTTGGGATAAAGAACAATTTATGAAAGGAAACAGGGTCCTGAGGACATAGGCCATCCCATATGGAGGGTCAAGCAGACTATCTAAGTTGACACTTGGAATGACCATAATATTGATTTTTTTTAACACTGATATCAAAATAGAGGGAAAAAGAAGGCAAAACAAAACAAAACAAAACACCAACCCTCACCTCTGCTTCAGCTTCATGGTATTGCTTTGTAGAAGGGTTTCTAGTCATATTTATGATATTCTATGAACTTACATGAGAAACTAAGAAGTTTATGATTGCATTTTAGATTTTGTATATTTCTAAAGTTAAAGAATAATGCAGTTTTTGCTACAATTAAACGTGTGCTTCTGTGACTTTCATAATTTAGCCTTTATATTCCTTGCTTTTTAAACCATTTTTGGTTTTGGCTTTTATTTACATTACATGGTCGTCAAGTTTCCTCTTTTTATCAGGGCAAAATGTAGGGTTTTATGAATCTTAAAAGCCTGTAATTTACTTTGGATGTGAACTATAATGCTTATTCTGAATAAATTCCATGTAAAACTGCAGAAATTGTGTAGAAAGTCTTTATGAATTGGAACTTAACATGTCATTGACACATTTTGAAGGGTGTTCTGTTGACTTTAGTGACAGATGATCCCATTCTGCCAAGTTCAGCTGGAAGGGGTGACTTTAGAAACCCAAACATCAACTTTGGAATCTAGAAACTTCCTGAAACCATGATTTTAAATCAGCATGCATCTATGTAAGGGATGGCATTTCACCAGCTTGCTCCACGGAAGTCTCTGGAACAGAACCATAAACACCAGCCCTCTTTGTTGTGTGTTGGCTTTTAAAAGCCTCCAATGGTTTGGGGGAGGATAAGGCCGTGCCTTGGGGCTCCCTGGTCCAATTTTTTGGGACCTGGCTGAAAACCCTGGATATTTGATAGTCTGGCTTATTTCTATGGTGTATTAGCACCCTATAAAAGTTACATGTCATTTATTTAAAGTTTAGAACCCTCTCAAACTTCAGGGGCAAACCAAACTTGAACCTTTTGTGGCTAGAATTCTGTTTACCTTTGGCCAAACCTTACTTCCTGAATGTGAAAAAGGGAGGTGAGGTGAGAGGGGGCCCCTGAGGCCCCTTGGACATCAAATCGCTTTTGCCAAACAAGGCTTTGATAGGTTAAAACATGAATGAATCTGAAACACGTAGAGTAACTTCCTGTCAGAATACTCTGGGGCCTGCACACAAAAGTATATTGTGCCGGGCAAAATGCATTTGAGTGTTGCCTTCGGCCAACTGTGAAGGCAGTATCTGAGATTTTTGCCAAACACAGGTTGAAATTGGGTCAAGCCACTTTCTCTCCACTTCTAATAAATATATTAGTTTCTATAAAAGTTATTGACAATACAATTGAATGAAGACCTTGGAGAGATTTGGACATTTCTTGTATTTGAAATATTTATTTTTAACCAGTGACAAAGAAAGAATGGATGCCAAGATGCAATGCCCATTCAAGGATGACTATGATTCCTTTGTGTCTACTGTCAGAACACAGGCTAGCAAGGAACACCTTGTGCTTGAATGGAGGAGAAATAACACACTGAGTTCCATGTGCCTTTCAGATAGAGGAACTGATGAATGCACTGGAGAAGACTAGACAGGAACTGGATGCCACCAAGGCACGCCTTGCCTCCACGCAGCAATCCCTGGCTGAAAAAGAAGCACACTTGGCCAACCTTCGGATAGAAAGGAGAAAACAGCTGGAGGAGATTCTGGAGATGAAGTGAGTACCAAGTTTTGCTTTTCTTGTCTCTCTTTTTATAAATTCTCTTTAGAGATGGGAAAGGGAAGGCTAGAGAAGAGGAAGAAAGAGCTTGGAGAAAGAATAATTTAGCTAACACTTGACTAATTGTTTCCGTGACTATGCTTACGTTTTTACATTATAGCTTCTGTGTCCCAATTTGCACATTTTTCACATCTGTTATTTAAAAAAAAATCCAGCATTAGGTTTTGTGCCTCTGTGTTTTGCGGACGGCACTAATATTCTTAGACTATCTAAAGGTCTGAACTGGCCAAGAGACAGAGGCCTTGTTAAGCACAATGGTAATTTAAGTCCTGCTCAGAGTTAAGTGGAAACTTTCCCAAGGAGGTATTTCCTCATTGTGACTATAACTTTGCTAATTATATTCTTTGCACTTGTGTACAATACCTGACTTGTGTTGGCTTTCATAGTCTCAAGGTTGGCACCTCTTTGTTTAGAAAGCAGGACTCTGATTTGCTGGGCTGATAAAAACAGGCTTGGAAACCCCTCTGCATTTTCCCCACAACACCACCGCGCGCCCCCCTCACCCCCACCCCCTACCCCTGCCTCATTGAGGAGGTAAGGGCTAGGAGGAGACTGGAACAACAGTCTTTCTTTGATTTAATCAAAGTGAGGCTTTAAAAAAAGTGAGGCTGCATGTCAGGCAGTGGTCATTCCTGTAGGGTTATGACACGCCCATCTCCACCTAGCTGTTGCCTTGTTCTCACAATGAAATAATACTGCTGCGGAAGAACATAGGAAAAATAATTGCCAAATACTTTAGAAATAATTGATTGCTACAGATCTGTTTCTTAAAAAAGCAGGCAAGAAGCATAATCTCTCTCTCTGCAAGTTTTAAAATGAAATAATCACTAAGATATAATTTAAATTCAACCCCTTTCCACAATAAGGGGAAATGTTCATAATTATGGCATAGTAAGTCTGTAACACAGACTTTGAAATTGGTGGCTAGGTATGGGAGGATAACCTTATCCTGACCCTGCAAGTCTTACACATGGTTAACATTAAACCAGAAAGCTTAGATCATGGAAAATATGGAGTGAAATATTTTGAACGATTTAATAATGAGGACAAAACTTTTATTCCTCATCAACTACCTCAGTTTCTCCAAGACCAAAGAATAAGTAATTTTTTTCCACATATAAACTCCAATTTTTCCTAATAAAAGATGGTATAATAAAAACAGATATTATTATCCTCAAGTTAGAAGTGAGGAAACTGAGACTCAGAGAGATTTCAAGTAATATGCTTAAGGCCATCTTGCCAGGACCAAAACCAAAATCTTCTACTCAGGCTCCCTTTCTACTACCCCATGTTCTCATGGAGCTTATGTGAACTCCGCCAAGCCCAGAACTTTTGTCTATTTGAGTCACTGCAGTAATCATACTGCTTAGAACAGTGCCTGCATATGTAGGTGCTCAATCACTGTTTGCTAAGGGGGTGAATAGAGTGAATTCTGGAGATTGGATTTTATGTAGCCTAAAAGAAAATTATCTCAAGCATTCATAACATGATCACCTTGATCAACAATTCGTTAGCAATGTGGGTACATTGATTCTGTCAGACTTTATTCCTTCCCATTTGCTTCTCCCTTCTTGTGTGTTGTTATGTGTCAGATTCAGCCTAGTTTCTCTCATTGTCCTCCAGCTGTTCCCAAGTTAACTCTACATCTCCTGGAGTGATTTATTATGCCATTATAAGGAAACTTTCATTATTTCCTGTTTATAAAAAGAGTATATACTTTCAACGTTTTGAAAGAAGAAGTAATGGTGAAGCATGGTGTTTGGGAGTCATCAGAGCTGGGCTGAAATCCTGTTGCTTCCACTTGGTGGCTGTATGACTTGGGGGAAATGACCTTAACATTGCTGACCCTCCAGTTTCCTCCTATAATGACTTTCGTGGGGTAGTTCTGAGGAGAGGCACTCAGAGGAGGGCTTGGCATGCGGAAAATGATACATGTGTGTAAATGGCACTAACAGCCAATGAAAATATGTCATTTGTTTAGTATGCTTTGTGAAGAGGATCATTTATCTAAAATTTGGGTTTATTTTTCTAAAACATATAAACCTTTTCCGTGTGTATGTTTTCCCACTTAATTTCATGATTTCAGATAGCACCTAACTAAGACCTCTTTTGGTGAATTGCCACATTATTGCTGAAGTGCTTAATCTGCTGCCACTGCAAAATAAATATGAAATTCCTCTGTTAATTCCTTTGATAAAAGTAACAAAGCCCTGCTTCATTAAGCCCAATATTGACCTCATTCACTATTTAACTGGCCCAGAAACCTCACTTACGGGCTTCTTCCTGGGACAATGGGGACACAGGTACAAGGCAATTATGTTGACTGAGAACCCCAACTAGATTTATCAGCCTCTTGGGCCTTTCAAGTCAACCAAATGGTTTGGTCAATCTTGATTTTGAAGCTGAGTTGACATATTGGTTACTTGATGTTAACCAAGTCAGTGTAGGTTAGTGGGAGCAGTCAGCAGGATATATCATTATCAGTATTTACTATCACTCTGTGCCAAGCATTGCTGGTTTTAATGCAACTAGCAGGCACTATAGGCAAATCTACCAATTTCCTAACCCTGGTAGCAAGGGAGAGATTGTGTGGTGTTACAGGAAAGAGGAGTGGGGCCGTGAGTCAAGAGAAAGATGTGGTTTCTCAACTCATCCATAACATTAAAGGAGATAATTTTCTGATTGCCTCAGTTTTCTCTTCAGTAACCTGGAGGTGATAATACCTGCCCTGCCTACTCTATAGAATTGTCTTAGGGAAAGGACTTTTTTTTTCAAGTACTGAACTAAAATTAATATAAACTAGCATATGTGAAAGTGCTTTGAAACATAAAAAGGGATTTTGAAATGAGAGGCGGTGTCTGTTAAATTTGTTGCAAAATCAAATGGCACAGAGTGTTAGTACTGAATTGGAAAGCAGCTGGGTCTAACCGTCCAGCCTACATAAGCCAGAGTCCTGTCCCCATAATTACTAATAAAGAGTCTTCTAGGCCCTGCCCTGGTGAACACCATTTCCATTGGAAGTCATGGGCTCATAAGGTGGTGGTTCATATTCCATGGCTCTTGCAGGTACCTCATTTGTCCCTGTATGGAACTGAAATGGCTTTCCATGTAATCTTCTCACTTGTCTTGGTTTTTGTTTCAGAGCTACACACATTTCACATGAGCCCCACCCAAAGAACAGACAGCCTTTTAGATATTTGTTTGGGTAATAGTGTTCATTTTAGAAAAAAAAATATAAGGAATAAAATTAAAAAACAAAATCACCTGTAATCTTACCATGCGGAGATGGATGCTTATAGCATTTTGGTGTATACTTTTACAAATGCTCTTTATTTTTTAAGAAAATTAGATTGTACTTTCATGTTTTGTAAAACCTCCATTTAAGAAATGAAAGGATGAGTTAGTACAAGAATTCATAAACGTTTGTTGAGCACCAGCCTTGTGGTGGGTACTGTTCTATGTGAGCAAACAGAAATGCCTGCCCTTTTTGAGCTTGAATTTAAGTAAAATGAGTGAAGGAAATGAACAAGAAAATAAACAAATAGGCAGATGAATAAAGTAGCTTCTTATGGAACCAGAGAAGTTTGGAATCCCACTTTAAAGCTGTTTCCATTGGTAAGGACCTCTCATGATTATTTGGGGTAAAGAGGGACATGCTGTGTACCTCCCTAAAGTCTGAGAACTCTTTTAGAAACTGAGACCAAAGGAGAGCCTTTGACTCTACCTTGTATAGAATTCTTTCCCCCAGTACTTCCTTTTTCAGTTTGATCTTCATTGGTTTGTATTCTGTCAGTCATTATTCCCACACTGGAAGAAACTAAGAATTCCCAACCATACATTTTTATGGAAGAACATAATATTGTCTTCCCTTGTGTATAATATTATTCTTTTTACTTAAAAAATATCTAAAAGCTCTTAGTAAAACATTTCATAATGGTTTGTCTTTGTTACATTTGCTTCTATTTAAAAGGGATTTTATTAAAATAATATTAAGAACATCATTCTATATGTTTGGTTTTATTAGTGCTGGTTAATGAGCTTGCATTCCAGTAACCAGAGCTCAATTATTTGACTTGAGGCTGGTGAATTTGATATCTGTGGCTAAAAGGAATTGAAGGCCATGAGATAGAGTACTTAAAATCTATCTGTGTGCATTTGCTCAGATGATTTAAACTAGCATAGGAATTTAATAGGCAGACAGGCAGGCTAACTGATCTGTTCCATTTAGTATTAAATACTGAATGAGTAAGAGACATGAGAGCTGGTTATAAGTTACATACTTTTAAGTGTGTATTTTGGATTTTTTTGTGGTGATTTCTTATACCTAGGTAAAGATTTTAAGGGGACCTCTATGCTTTAACTCATCTGGTGACATTGTGAGATCCATCTTAATTTACTGGGTATTGTTGCATTTTAGACATCTTCCCCAGATAGCCTCAAAAGCCTTTGTATACACTGAGCTATTTTAGGAAGTTTACAGTGAGGTAAGACAGCAGCTTATTCCAAGGCATTATCCTGTTGGCCTCTTTGATCTAGGATCCTTTCTGAGAGAGCCACTCATTAGGTAAGTACACTTCAAAGAAGACACAGGGTGCAGAAAATGATAAAATCAATTTATTCTTTACTTCATGCCAACATGAGAAAAGACAAATCACATTTCTTTAGGAAGGAATCCTAAGTGCCTGGCAATTTGGACAGGATAAATGGAGCCTGGGAGAGTAGTTTTGAAGGCAAATGTTACTTAAAATTGATAAACTCATTTGTGAGAGATGTTATGGGGATTGAATGAAATTATGCATTTACGAGAAAGTGATTTTTAAGCCGTAAAAAGCCATATATGTATAATGTTATGTGATATATTAATATAAATTAGGTAAACCCATTACAGTTAGCATACACTGATCCTATCTTCAAATTCCAATTGGCCTTACGCTTTC